GAGAGTTACGTCATCCACTCTGCCACCTGCACTGTTTCCCTGTCCCCAGTCTGGTATCCAAGCCCCAAGAGTGGCAGGCCTGGAGGTGTCCTGGCTTCCTCTTTGGTTACCACATCACACCTAGCCCCCTCAGGAAGCCATGTGGTCCCTCCCCAACAGGGGACATTTCCCCAAGGAACAGGGCCTTAACCAGGAAGAGTAGAGCAGCACAAGGCACCCTCGCAGCTCTGATTTCTCTCAGCAGCCGGTCCCCTGCGGTCCTGCCACAGAAGAGCCTGCCTTGAGGACGCAGTGCTCAGGGAGCTATAGGAAATCACTGTCCTCTAAGTCCACCACCTCATGGCGCAGGGGAACGCGGCAAACCAAAACACATCTCATTCTCTTGGGATATGCTTCAAGCATCGAGTCCTACTACTTGGTTCCCTTCAGCTCCTACCTTTGTCTTTCTTCTTGAGCTTCTTGTTGCGGGTCCCTTGCCTGAGATAGGAGAGGATCTGTGTCAGCTTGCTGATGACGATGTCATTGGTGGTCAGCGTGGTCTGTGCCTGGAAGAGAAATGCCCGAGGAAGCATCTGACTCCCTTGACAGGGAACCCCTCTGCGCAAGACCTGCTCTGGCCAATTCAGCCCAATGCGGTCAAGCAACCTGGACGGTAGCTGGGTACCTCCATGGTGGGGCAGTCAGCCTTGCTCCGGATCAGCGTGGTTGGAATATCAGTGTCGGCATACTCATCGTCCAGGTCTACTACATAGGCCATCCTCCCCGGCAGGAACAGCTCATTCCGCTCGTAGGCCTTGTTCTTGAACAGAATGCGGTAGATGTTGCGACCTGGAGGGGAAGGAAACGTGTGGGAGAGCTGCTCTTGTGAAAGCTGCTCTTACAAGAGCAAGAGACAAGCCCATAGTGAAGCATATTTAATTTATCAGAAACATCAGAATCACATCCTAAGAGACATGCTTCCTCCAGCCCTCAAATTCAGGACACCTACACCTCAGGCTCTCTCCCCCTCTCCAATGACTAAAAGTTTTCATTCCTCCATTCACCCTCCAGGATTTCTCCCACATTCACAGCACAACCTAAGGTGGGAAACAGCCACATCCACACAGTCTTACCCAGCCGGGTTTTAAATTCAATTTTGTTCTCAGGATCTTCATCTTTCCTGAACAGAAACAGAAAAGAAACAGAAGCATTATGCTAAGTGTGCGTCTCCTCTGCATCCTCCTCTCTGGGAGGCAGCTGCACTCAGGAGTGCAAAATCCTCAACTGCTCACTTTGTTTCCTTCTGGGGCTTCTCCATCATTTCCTCCTCTTCCTTCTCCTTGCTGGCAATCTCAGCCCGTACCTGGCCACACAGTAAATCCATACATTACAGACCCATCCGTGCCACTGCTGCCCATCAGAACCAGTAAGCCCACTTCCACCAGCTCCCCAACCCTTCATAAATCTTTCCCAGGAAGAGAAATCCACACTGACAAGACTGAAGCACCTATAAGCGGCAACTGCTACCCTCTGCCCACCCTCTGCCTGCGGGAGCAGACAGGGTAGAAGAAGCGCAGCACGGCGATATCCGTGCTTACCTTCTGCAACAGCGCAAAGTCCAGACCCTTCACCAAGTGAGTGTGCTCCATGTCACCACCCAAGAACTTGGACTCCTGGATCAACTGTCTCCTCTTCTCTGCAGCGGATTTATCCCTGTGCAACAAAACCGGAACCAGTTAGGAGACAGCCCATCAGGAGCAGACTATCAAGACAAGGCCATGCCACGGGCTCACGTACGCCTCTGCCGTCGGCCCCACAGCCCTGTAGTTGGCAGTTGTGCTGATCAGCTCTGTTTCCTCGTAGTCCTTGTTCACACCATCTCTCCTCTCCTTGGCTCGATCCCTGTACTTCTCGGCCAACTCCCTCTCACGCTCGATCTCCTGCTGGCGCAGCTTGGCGTAATAGCTGGGGTTAGAAAAACAGCTCAGTGTTACTGACACGTTCACACTTTTGATGCACCGGTTGGGTAACAGCCCCCAAGGCCTCACACGTGCCTGTTCTGCTCCCAACCCCTTCCCCAAAAATGTACTAAAGCAGCACAGGACACAACATGCCTGGAGGACACCAGACAAGATGAAACTGCTGTACTTGAGGCTAATTAAAGAGGAGCTCAGTCTTCCCTTCCAAAGGGAAGAGGCCAAGTGCAGTCCTGCTGCACAGATGTGCCCCAAAAGACAGTCACCAGTGCAGATGTCCCACCACTGCCCTGCTCTGCCAGACACAGGGAGAGCGTCTCCCGCTTCTTCCAGAGGCAAAGCTTCACCCCCATCCTGCTGCCGCCCTCCCACATCTGTTCCCACAAGCAGCGACAGTCGCTCAGTCTGAGCTCTTCTCATTCTGCTTGGCTCCAAAGCCCCAGAATAATTGTCCTGGCTTTGTCTGGGACAGAGTTAATTTTCTTCCTAGTAGCTGGTACAGCACTGTGCTTTGGATTTAGTGCTAGAAGAATGTTGATAACACACTGATGGTTCAGCTGGTGCTGAGCAGGGCTTACACCAGTCAAGGACTTTTTCAGCTTCCCCTGCTCTGCCAAGGGTGCAAGAAGCTGGGAGGGGGCACAGCCAGGACAGCTGGCCCCAACTGGCCCCAGGGCTATTCCAGACCATATGATATCATGCTCAGGGGGAGTTAGTTAGTTAGGGGGAGAGCGATCACTGCTCGGGGTGGGCTGGGCATCGGCCAATGGGTGGTGAGCAGTTGCACTGTGCATCACTTGTTTTGCATATTCTGTATATTCTATTACCATTATTATTATTATTGTTATTTTCTTTTATAAAACTGTCTTTATCTCAACCCACAGGTTTTACTTTTTTTTTTTTTCCCCCCCCCAGTTCTCTCCCTCATCCCACCGAGGATGTGGGAGTGAGCGGCTGCGCGGTATTCAGCTCCCTGCCAGCTGAAACCACCACAATAATCCAGGCCACTCAGGGTCCTCTTTGGTAGCCCAAGAGCTCAGAAGCTGCTCCATGTACGAAGGACGTGATATGCGAAGACAAGTCCCAGTGTATTGCTTTCCCATTTACCTTTTCTTCTTCCTCCTGCGAGCAGCTGGGTCTTCATCTTCGTTGTACTCCCGGGGCATCCTGGAAAAGGGTGAGAAGCCACACGTACAGTCTGCAGAGCCATACAAACACAGGCAGCTGTCTAGAACAGCCCCTCAGACACAGCAGGGCACCAAGCTGCTCAAAGATGGGAAGAGTACGGTCCCACTTCTCCCTAATTCCGCTCTGTCAGCGGGGAGAGGAGGGGAAAGCACTGATTTTCACAGAACAAAATCTAAATCTGCTGCTTGCACAAAGCATCTGAACAGCCATGCAAGAGCTGCTCTCGTATTTTCAGCAGTCCTGACCCACCCACTTCTCCACTTAACCCACACATGGACCCCAGCACAAAGCAAGGCCAAGGTCTGCTCCTCAGACCCTGCCTGCACACTCATTAGCTAAAGCCGTTAGATATTCCACTGCAGAGCGCAGGGGGAGAGAGTCAGGCAGGAGTGGAGCCCCAGAGGGAAAGCAGACACGTCCCACAGTGCTGTGAAACAGTCCTACTCACTCATGGTGGCGAGATTTGGACGGTGGCGCAGATGTTGGCGCAGCCCGCGGGGTCATGAGAAGCTTTCGGAAATCTTCATTGGTCAGCTTGGA